TGATCCATTGCCACAAACATGCTCAGCACTACAAAATATAAATACATATTTTAATAATAAATTTAACTCATTATTAATAAAATCAAATAATAATATCAAATGCATGTGTATAAAAATATATATTGCTTAATTATATACAAGCTTACTAAGCCAACTCTCTTAAGCATAATTTCCATCAGGATAATTATATTTTAAATTTATATGGATTGGAGAAAGAAAAAATTGTATTAATGCCTAGTGCTATATTGTAATAAATTTATAATATATAAATAAATATATTTAAGAGTCGTCAATACTTCATTATAATCCAAAAATTTTATAGCAATTTATTGATATAGTATGGATAAAACTTTCTCAAATTATTAATTTTGCTTCTGCTATCGCAAGTGACTATATTTTAGAGCTAACTTATTATTTCAGCTTCAAAAGTAAATTTTATTAAATTTGAGTCATTTTGTATTTTCTAGCAGAATCATGCACATGTTGAAATTACAGTATAAAAATCTAATGAAACATTATGGGACTAACTGTATTTTTCATTATAATGGTGGGAATTGATAAAGGCAGGCATCATGCAATGCAGTTATAGTAATAACATATTGTGCTAAAAATTGATTGTGCTTTATATTTATATATTAGTATAATAGGATTACCATATCCATTTCTGCCATGCACTGCTGTTATTTATATTTCAGTTTAAGATTATGTTAATAGGTAATTTTCAATGTGAATGATATGCATTCCCATTATTTTCAGTTAAACCGCAAGCTAGTACATTGGATTTAATAGCTAAAATTTGTGATATCGATAAAAATGACTCCTGCCATGCACAACGCCTACCTTTTTTCTTACTAAGACTCGCATGTTTCTTTTTAAAGCAATTAGATTTGGAGGTCTTATTTAAATTCGACATTTATAATATATCTATTTTCAATCCTTTTTAAGATATTATCAATAGACACATACCAGCAGAAGGGTATGTGAATTATTCTGGACTGCAAATACAAATTCATAGAATGTTACCTCTTCTGGTGTTTTTTTTTTAAGATTTATCCATTTCTAAAAAAGGCCTAAAAATAACAAGAAAGAAGAATAATTAGAAAATTGCATATTGAACTTGATATAAACAAAACATCTTTTTTTTTGTTTAAAACAAACTACGTCTTAATTAATTAACTTGCCACATATTACCTTTACACTTATTAAATTTAGAAGTTTAGAATATTAACTTAATAATAAGAGACGAGATCATTAAATATGATTTGACTTAATTCACATTTTCATGGCCAAAATGTTGAATGCGTCAATCGCTACTCCTGTCATTTTGTTGCTACAACACAATGTGATGTGAATTATTTATCGAATACGATATATCGATATCGATATTCGTTTGTTCGAAATCGATTCTACTAATTAATTTCGGTTACAAATTTAAATCAGGAGATTAAGTACTAATTGAATAAACTAGTGGGGCGCATGGCCAGGGCCGGATTTAGAAATTTGGCGCCCTGGGGCACTGACAAAAATGCCGCCCCATCTTTGAAATGTTATTTTTTTATATATTATTCCTGTACCAAAAATTAAAATAAAAAAAAAAAAAAAATATTTTTTGAAAACTTAAAAAAATCAATTTGTGAAAATTTTGAGTTTTTTTTTATATTTTGAAATGTTTTTGAAATTTTTCGCAGCGCGATTGCTTTGAAAAAAGTTCATAATTTTCAAAAAATTTCAATATACATATAAAAAAAAAGTTTTTTAAAGGGCGTTTTTTCATATTTCTGAAAATTTTAATGCTCTTTATAGAATGTATTTTTCATTAAGAGAAGTTCCAGTAATTTGCAGTTATTAATCGTCACTAGTTTAATTTTTTTTCGGCGCTATAGGCACCGAATTCGGCGCTATAGGCGTTGAAAGTGCACAAATTTGTCGTCCTAAGAGGGCTCGAGATTTGAAGAACATATTTTTCTTAAACTTTCAGCTCGTTTACTAAACTTTATATTAGCCAAATTGCCAAATTTGAAATAATTTATGTTCGGAGAGGGAGTCAAAGAAAAATAATAAATTTTAATAATCGTCTATTTGAATCCAAATTTTGCATTGCATTCCATTGTTTTATATAAATTAACAAAAGTTAACTATATTTCTTGAAATAAAAAACATTATTAGAAAAATTAGTTGATTACATTGTATAGCATTATTTTCCCACTATCCAAATTTGCCGCCCAGAAAATCTGCCGCTCTGGGAAGTAGCCCCGACTGCCCCTACTGTAAATCCAGCACTGATCATAGATGAATAATAAAGTTCTTACTAATCGTCCGCAATTATTATAAAAAAAATGATTTAGGGTCTAGTAAATCTACTACAACGAATGTAGTAAATCTACTACAATGAAGTAAATCTACCGTTATGAATGTAGTAAATCTACTACTTGGTGAACAAATCCAAAACAAAAAGTGCAGTAAATCTACTACAATGAGAGTACTGTAAATCCAGCACTGATCATAGCTGAATATAAAGTTCTTACTAATCGTCCGCAATTATTATAAAAAAAATGATTTAGGGTCTAGTAAATCTACTACAACGAATGTAGTAAATCTACTACAATGAAGTAAATCTACCGTTATGAATGTAGTAAATCTACTACTTGGTGAACAAATCCAAAACAAAAAGTGCAGTAAATCTACTACAATGAGAGTAGTAAATCGACTATAATAAGTGTAGTAAATCTACTACAATGGGTTTATAAGTGCAATAAATGTAGTTCAATGGGTCTAGTAAATCTACTTCAAGGAGTGCAGTAAATCTACTATAATGAATGTAGTAAATCTACAACAACAAATGTAGTAAAGCTACTGCATTGTGTAGTAAATCTACTACAATGAGTATAGTAAATCTACTACAATGAGTGTGGTAAATGCATTTCAATTGGTCCAGTAAATCTACTACAATGGTGTAGTAAATCTACTACAATGAGTATAGTAAATCTACTACAATGAGTGTGGTAAATGTATTTCAATTGGTCGAGTAAATCTACTACAATGGTGTAGTAATTCTACTACAATGGTGTAGTAATTCTACTACAATGGTGTAGTAATTCTACTACAATGGTGTAGTAAATCTACTACAATGAGTATAGTAAATCTACTACAATGAGTATAGTAAATCTACTACAATGAGTGTGGTAAATGTATTTAAATTGGTCGAGTAAATCTACTACAATGGTGTAGTAATTCTACTACAATGGTGTAGTAATTCTACTACAATGGTGTAGTAATTCTACTACAATGGTGTAGTAAATCTACTACAATGAGTATAGTAAATCTACTACAATGAGTATAGTAAATCTACTACAATGAGTGTGGTAAATGTATTTAAATTGGTCGAGTAAATCTACTACAATGGTGTAGTAATTCTACTACAATGAGTATAGTAAATCTACTACATTGAGTATAGTAAATCTACTACAATGAGTGTGGTAAATGTATTGGTCGAGTAAAATCTACTACAATGGTTGATATTTTGAGTTTCTAGTAACACATACGACCCGTTAAATAATGTTTTTGTGTATAAATAAAACTACAAACCAAACTACTTACTACAATTTATTCATAATTAAATATTAAATGATCAGAAACCTTCAAAACGTGAAGAAATGTAAAACATTTCAATTTCGATTTTTGGACAATTACAATAACTTACCCTACGGGAAGTTAAAAAGAGGCAATTATTAATAAACTAAATGAATTCCACTTTAAATATTAATTAAATTAATTTTAACATATCTGTTATATGAAATTAAGCCTGAATACTGATCGACTTCGAAATGTGTTCTGTATTTGCACAACTGTATTAGTTGAATGACATGCTGAATAGCAATTATCTGAGATCCATTTGGGAACATTAATCATAAAATATATTGAGAACAATACTATTATATATAGCATGTGGTATAGTAAATCTTATTTTAGGACACGCATGAATGCCAAATTATTTTACAAATATCTAAATGTTTGCGAAACAAAAAGAAAAAGTAGTGGGATGCATGGCATCGTGCCTTTAGGCAAATTGCTGGAACTTCCTGTACCGTAATTAAAAATATTGGTATGGAACCCAAAAAATTTACACAAAATGTGTACACATTATTAAAATCTGTATAAAATATCTGATAATTTGATGTATATGTGTCCAATAAACATTTTTGACCGCCAAATGACATTTTTTTTAATTTATTTTTATGGAGAGTCCATAACCGCTGGACCTGGCTACCCCAAAATTTAATCAGTTCTTCATCTTGTCAATACAAGTAAACTGTTTTTTGAATTATTAAAATCGGACGCTCCGTTCTCTTAAAAACTTAGTTACCGTTTTTGGCACTAGACCTAGGCTATACCTGTCTTATCAATACGAATCGAATATTTTATGAATTATTCAAATCGGTTGATCGGTGTTCCCAAAATCGTCGACGATAATTTGCATCCACACACACACATACACAGTGCTGGCTTTACAGTAGGGGCAGTCGGGGCTACTGCCCAGGGCGGCAAATTTTCGGGGGCGGCAAAATTTGGATAATGAGAAGAAAATTCTATACCATATAATTAACTCATTTTTTTAATAACATTTTTAATTTCAAGAAATATAATTAACAAAACATTATGCAAATGCAATGCAAAAATTTGGCAATTTGGCTAATATAAAGATTCGTAAGTGAGTTGAAAGTTTAAGAAAAATATGTTCTTCAGATCCCGAGCCCTCTTAAGATGACGAATATGTGCACTTCCAAGCTCATAGCGCCGAAAAAAATTAATTATGTGTCTTACGGCAAATTACTGATACTTTGCGTACTGAAAATTACATTTTATAAAAAGCTTTACAATTTTTTGAAAAATGATAAAAATTGAATTGAAAAATTTTTTTTTTTTATATTTCGAATTTTTTTGAAAATTATTAAGTTTCATCTATTAAACTAACTAAAATTAAATTTTATTTGAATAATTCTATTTCTATTGATAGCGAGACGTGCTGATTAGTTATTGGCCAAGACAGGTCCAACTGTTTCGGAAATACGGGCCAAAATGCCAAAAATAATAATACCGGTTACTATGGCAAATACTTTTTTTGGGACTAATCTCAGCACAAAAAAACAAGCAAATTATTAAACTAACTTTTGAATAAGTTTCAATTTGAATTTGCATTTAAATAATTAAATCATCAGTAACGATTCATTAATTATGTGGTGAAAATATGCAGCAATGGAACGCTGATATTTTTATGGTATCGAACCAACATTTTATGACAAAATATTACAAAATCAATAATATTATTATATTATTATGGATTATAATATTATGTCCAATTATAATATTCCTATTACTAATAGTAACATGTTACAAGTACTAAAAATCAGGTTAGTTCTATATTAGTAAAATAAAAATTCTAAATAAAAAAAAAATGAGGGCAAAAAATACTATTGGACATAATATTATAATCCAGAATAATATGTTAATATTATTATCCAAACCATGCACTTGTTCAAAACGTAATAAAATTTTTTAAAAAAATTATTTATTAAATTATAATTTTGCCTGAAAAAAATTGGAGATTTTCAGATTGAAAAATAAAGATTATTTTAAGAGTTTTATTATATTGAATATTTGGACATTTAACATCAGCGTATTTTACATTTTTTATTACACATTTATATATTAATTAAATATAATTAATAAAATAATTAAATTGATAATTATTATACTTATAGCTAAGATGCAACTATTTTCCACACCACCCAGGAGGTATAGTTGCCAGGCGCGTTTTTTTATTGTGGTGTCGCCGTACAAATTTAGTACAGCCCTAATCCACTTACAAAATAACTTAAATTAATTAACTAAACCTAATTTAAGCCTAACTTAAATAACCCCAATGTAACATGAAAAATACCCCAAGAAATGATTGAATGTATATGAAGATATTCTTTTTTAAAAAAAAGAAGACGATGCAAGGACCTGGTAGTAAATAAACGTAAAATTGTAATATACTGAGCTAATTTTGTAATTAAGAAAAACAAAAAAAAAAAAAAAAAAAAAAGTATTTACATGATGTACCCCCCTAAGATCCACCATGTAAATACTTTAACTTCATAGGTTCCCAGCCCTATGAAGCTTTTAGTGAAGTGCATTATAAAATTCATAAATTTGTATGTTGAGTATTGTTATATGAATTAATATTAAATAATTGTGAAAAAACGCAAAATCTGTGCGAACTGGGAGGTCCTTGCCGTCTTCCCCACCCATTTATACAATAAAAAATAGCAAACTACTAATTTTAACTTAATAATATCCTTAAAATCCATGTGTACGCCCTCCAATTTTGTATGCAATTTTCTGGTTGGTTCTAATATTGTATGTATCTTCATCTCGTATGGATCTTTATCTTGATGTTTCACTGTATGAATCTTGATCTTGATGTTTCACTATATGGAATTTGATCTTGATGTTTCACTGTATGGATCTTGATCTTGATGTTTCACTGTATGGATCTTGATCTTGATGTTTCACTGTATGGATCTTGATCTTGATCTATATCAAGATCTTGAATTGTAAATATCAAGCTTGCACTGTATATATCATAATATATCACTGTACACAACACTGTCTGGCACTGTATATGACACGATTTTGCACAAGATATATCTTATTTATAATACGTATATAAATCCGTCCACGAATCAAATATGAAAAATGAATAACGTAAATGGGGCCCCGATGAAATAATATAATAGATTAGAAAATGATCGCAAAAAAATAATATCTTATGATCTATCTTAGCAAGTAAGATAGATATCTTAATATAACAAAATAATATGGAAAATGATCGCAAAAAAATAATATCTTATGATCTATCTTAGCAAGTAAGATACTTGCTAAGATAGATCATAATATTATCTTATCTTAATATAACGTTCACCTGGTCGTAAAGTGGTCCATCCTATTTAGTGAAGTGATCTATCTTAGTTACTTATCTGAATATACAAACGTTCTTCTGGTCGTGTGCGCTCCTGGTTGCAAAGTGGTCCATCCTACTCTTGTACACTGGTCACCACTAACGTCCTGGTAAACATTCTTCCGTTTCAGTCACAGTGGTTCAGGATCTATTCCTCTAGTATCTCCTGTCTTCAACCTAAAATTAAAATTTTATTTAATTCTACTCAGATTAAAAAGATTTGTACATAGCTCAGAGTTTCGTACCATCTCACGAACATTGCCAAGTTAACTTCTTATAAATTCAGCATTCCTCCACCAGGAGACTCATTGTGCGACCAGTAAAATTAAAGTTAATTCACGAAATTGTGTTCACTACATTACGGCACGAAAAGTAATCAAATTAACTTAAAAAAAAAGTAACTGAATATTATAAATCTATAAAAAAGTTACTTCTTTCCATGGCCCATTCATCAATACAATAAAAAATTAAATTTAATAATAATTATAAAAATAATGGCATAAATAATATTAATTATTGAATTAAGTGCATGGGGTTACGGTGCTTCTGGGAAAACAACGCAGGGGTCCATACACTCAGAGATATAAAACCAAAATTAATCTCTAAATTAAATTTAAATGTGAAACCCGACTACTTGGACCTGCCGTGGGGGGTAGGCGGCAGGAACGTAGCTTCAAACGCGCAATTTTCATCATAATACGTTCGTTCGTTTTTCGAAAATTAAAAAAAAAAGTGTGAACCATGTACTCGAAATAACGCAAAATGGTAAATGAAAAATTACTTCACTAAACACTATATCAAATAAACTAAGTCACAATTAATAACAAAAAAAAAAGTTTAATGCACAATAAGCCTCCGACGTTATTATTCACTGCACATAACACTGTTGGCACTGTATAAAATCTGAAAAGAAACGAACTACATTAAAATTAATTAAACAACTACATTAAATAATTATAACAAGTCAATTGCAAATAATTCTAACATAAGTTCAAATATAAATTTTAATGTTGTAATAGTTTTCTAATTCTAATCATTTTTTTATATTTTGTACAATTATTATGCATTATTCATATTTTAATGTTATAAGACTCAATAAAATTTATACATATACTGCATATGTTCTTATTTCTATTTTTCATTTAATAATTCAATATTTAAATCAAAATGTTTATTCAAATAAATTATATAAAATTGAATTGTATGTCATAAAATCATACCTAAATTCTACAGTTGGAATTATTTACATTTATATAATATAAAATATATACAATGTACATTAGATACATATGTACATACATATATCTATATATATATATATGTACTTGCGCTTTGATTTGATTTATTATTATTGAATAATTTATTGAACTATAATTAAAAAAAAATTTGAAAACCGTTTTTATTTATATTATTGGATTTACATTATTTTCTATATTTTAATATAATTTTGGCCGAAGAGTTATTTCAAAACCATTACATCAACTCTTTGGCAAAAATTATTTTGAAATAAAAAAAATAACATAAATCGATTTATATAAATGATGAACAGGTTTCATTTTTTTATTTATAATTCACTAAATAAAATTGAATAAATCAAAATACAAGCAAACACCATGCATAAATCATATATTCAAGAAATTGAATATATGACCTTTTTTAGAAATTACTTGAAAAAAGTTTTAGAATAATATTAATTATTATAAATGACTTACCATTCACTGTAGTATCAGCACGAGGTCCCAACACAAAATGACTTAACATGGTTTTTGTGCCAGCTTTTATGGAGGCAAAAAGGCGCCAAAACAATATAAATCGTTACCCGTTATACTATATTATGTCGTTACCTACATATTCAAATTCAAATTCAAATCTTATATTTTTGTCATAGATTGTTATCAATGATAAAATCATTTATCTTTGGTTGTTATCTTATCAATAAATAGTTTTGGGTATTAGGCAATTGATAGCGCTAGTGTTGGCAAAATCACAAATAACCTGTCATTGTTTATTTACATTTGGATTTTTGAAGAAAATAAACAAATAAATTCAGTCTTAAAAGATTTTGAACATCTTTTGGGAAGATTATAGTGATTATATGGATACATATACCTAATTTTAATTAAGTTATAATTTAGTACATTAATATAAAGTGGACCTCTGGGTTTTCCTTTTGAAATTCTATGTTATTTGTCAAATTAATTACTCAATGTCTTTCAATGTAGACAGATTGTAATTTATAAGAAAATAAAAAAAATAAAAAATGGCTTCATGAAAAATTTGTGAACTTGGTATGAAATTATATATACTAAAGATGAAATTAAATTTTAAAATCAAAATATATTTTCAATTTATTCAAGTGTTCTATTATACATGTATACATATACCTATCACATACATCTATTTTTTCTAAGTATGCTAAAATGTTCAGAAACCTCTGAAACGTAAAATATATGTAAAAATTTTCATTTTCGATTTTTTTGCGATTACTATACTTGCCCTACGGAAAGTTAAAAAAAGCATGTTAATATAGTGTTTTAAAGATTATAATTACAAGTCTGTAGAACTTTAGAGATAATAAATTTGATCGTTTTTATATAGTTATGAATTACAAAACTATTAAATTGTATAAATTATTAATTTGAAAAATATGTATAATTAGTGAAATATATATACCATCCCAGTGAATAAGTGGCTAAGTCGAATTTCGGCAAAAAAGTTTTGAATCGCGGTATTAACTATTTCTCTAAAAATAATTTTCAAATTGAAAAACTATTGGTTAGAAACAAAAGTTAAAAAAGCACTTTATATAATAAATAAACCATTGATTTCAAATACGCGATATTGCACGAGTAATAGAACTTTGAAATCAAGCTTTGAAAAATAGTGAGAATTGACTTATATAAATATATTTGTCCATAATTGCATCATAGATATTTTCCTAGATAATTATGTAAAATACTATACGTATTACTGCTATACTATTTTTAAAATAAAAAACTATACTAATAAAATATAAATAAAGAATAAATGGCTTGAATAATATTTGAATTTGAATTATAACGGCCATAATGTAAACAACTTCACTCCATAGAGGGCAATTCTTATTATTGTATTAAGTTTGGTTAGGCTTTCATAAATGTTTTGTTATTTTATGACATTTATTTGTAAAACTAATACTAACGCTTATAATATAGTTCATTGTTTATTGTTTATCGTATTTTTAAAAAATATAAATAAAATTTAATAAAATGAGTTTTTCCAGTGATGAAGTAAATTTTTTAGTGTATCGGTATTTGCAAGAATCAGGTTTGTGTGTTTGTTTATAGGTTAATTTATTGTATATGTTTCTTAACGATATAACTGCAATTTTATAATCTTCATAACTATAATAATATTATTATTTTTAGGTTTTCAACATTCTGCATATACTTTTGGCATAGAATCCCACATTTCACAAAGTAATATAAATGGCGCTTTGGTGCCGCCAGCAGCACTCCTAAGCATTTTACAAAAAGGATTACAGTATACAGAAGCTGAAATAAGTGTCGGCGAAGATGGTATGATAATTAAAACAAAAAATTACAAATTCAAAATTCAAATATAACAGTAATTGACTATTGAAATTTGCAGGGTCTGAGCAAAGGCTTCCGGAGAGTCTCAGTCTCATTGACGCTGTTATGCCAGAAGTCGTGGCCAGTAGGCAAAATCAACAGAATCAACATAAACAAGCTATTAAAACAGAATCTGCTGAAAATGCAAACGGAGAAGAATCAACAAGTATGCAAAATAATAATAATAAATCCATCCTATGCATGGAAAAACACTTTTGAGACTCTCTATATCACTAACTTTATTGCACAAGCTTATATTTGCTTGTTATAATGTATTTTTACCGTAGAATATTATTACAACTAATTAGATTTCATTTACTATCATATTATTAAATTTCCACTCCCTTTAGATACAACAACAGCAACACAAGAAACAATGGAAGTTGATCGGTCAATTGAAATACCTGCATCAAAAGTGACAGTATTACGTGGACACGAAAGCGAAGTATTTATTTGTGCTTGGAATCCAAGTACTGATTTATTAGCCAGTGGATCCGGAGATAGCACAGCTCGAATTTGGGATATGTCGGATAACTCTGCACGGCCTAGTCCTAATCAATTGATACTGAGGCATTGCATTCAGAAAGGTGGAACAGAAGTACCGAGTAATAAAGATGTTACATCACTGGATTGGAATGTAAGAAACTATAAAATTCAAATAAGTATCAAATTAAACACTTTGTTTGCTTTTAAAAAATAAATCATGGATATAAATTAAAAGTACTATTAAAGTTTTGAAAACAAAAGTATAAATAAATTATTATCATCTATGAATATTGCAGTTTGTAAATTTAAATAATACAATTGTTCTTTATATAGTGCGATGGATCTTTGCTGGCTACTGGAAGTTATGATGGATACGCTAGGATTTGGATGATTGATGGACGTCTTGCAAGCACTTTAGGGCAACATAAAGGTCCAATTTTTGCTTTGAAATGGAATAGACTGGGAAACTATATTTTATCAGCCGGGGTTTGTAAATTTACTTTTTACATTTGGAATTAATCAAGCTGTATGTTCCAAAGTATTCCTATTATCCTTTTTCACCAACCTAGGTTGACAAAACTACAATTATTTGGGATGCAGCAAGTGGTGAATGCACACAACAATTCTCATTTCATTCTGCGCCCGCTTTGGATGTTGACTGGCAAACAAACACATCATTTGCAAGTTGTAGTACGGATCAGTGTATTCATGTTTGCAAACTAAATGTTGATAAACCCATTAAAAGTTTTCAAGGGCATACAGTAAGTGCTTGTTATTAAAATTTATTTATTTATTTTACAAGCTATGGTTTTTGAAACAAAACTGAATTTGATTATCAATTTTTAGAATGAAGTTAATGCTATCAAGTGGGATCCACAAGGACAACTTTTAGCATCCTGTTCAGATGATATGACTCTTAAAATTTGGTCAATGAAACAAGATAATTGTGTACACGACTTACAAGTGAGTTTAACTCAAAATGCAATACTATTATAATCTATAATACCAATAAAATTATTTCTAATTATCCACAGGCACATTCTAAAGAAATTTATACAATAAAGTGGTCTCCAACAGGACCAGGAACACACAACCCTAATATGAATTTAATATTAGCCAGCGCAAGTTTTGATTCCACTGTTCGTTTGTGGGATGTTGAAAGAGGAACTTGTATACATACATTGACAAAACACACAGAACCAGTATATTCAGTAGCTTTTAGTCCAGATGGAAAATTCTTGGCTTCTGGTAGTTTTGATAAATGTGTTCACATATGGTCTACACAATCAGGACAGTTGGTTCATAGTTATAAAGGAACTGGTGGTATATTTGAAGTATGTTGGAATTCAAAAGGTTCAAAAGTAGGAGCAAGTGCATCGGACGGTAGTGTATTTGTTCTAGATCTCAGAAAATTGTAATTTAATTAGATAATTCTTAATAGTGATTTTAATGCCCAGTAATAATCATTACTTATTACTTAGCAGTAAAAAATGAAACCAAGCTATGAGCAACATTTATTTCTAATTGCTAATTTTAAATGGTGGGTGTGATAAGTTTGAGTAAGATGAATAAACTATATATAAAAATAATTTTTGACTCAAAAATGTAAAAATTGAATTAGATATTGGAATGAATTTTATATTTAGTGCTATGTTTTAACCTGTAAATTTTTTTATATAATACAATGTTTTAGCTAGATAATATTTTACGTTTTATAATAATTTGAATGAGAGTGCATTTTTGTCAAATGATACTATAAAATTTTGTTAGTGTGAATATCTCAGATAGTATGTCTTAAATTTTAACCTTATGATTACAAATAAATATAAGATTTTTAATTTTTAAATGTGCTAAGAAAATTATGTATTTATTGGTGCGGTTTATAAATATAAATATTATCCATGTATATTTATTGTTTTACTACATACAAAAGATCTTTCCAAATTGTTTCTTATATGATGCTGATTAATTAGTTCCCTCTGAATTAAATACATGTTGTCAGAAAATAAAAAGTAAGCAATTGTTAATAGGATGGTTTAGTTAGCTGTTAGCTAAAAAAACTTTGAAGACACTTCAATCTTTATCTAAAATAAAAATCTTGAAAATTACTATTATTCATCACTATGTATTTAATAGGTAAAATTTATCACATGTACATTATAAAATCATTCATCTTATCTTAAAATATTGGTCGTTTGTAAGATTTAAGTGCATCATGTTCATATAATTTATGAATAATGTCATACATATGTTTAAAGAAAAATAATAAATTATCATATTGACCTGTATAATTATCAATAACATCTTGTTTAGAATAATGTTCAAGCTTCGTTCCTAATCCAAGATTTTGTAAACCTAAATATTTATCACTAACACCCCACATAAGAATATGCAATTCTAATAAAAATTGATGAATAGCTTCTATTGTTGCTAAATACCATCTAGGACTGCCTTTTTGGTATCTCCAAAATTGACTGATCCTATTTTGTAATACTACACATTTAAGTTTTTGTATTCTATAATCTTGATAGATTCCTCTACTTTGACTCCAAGTACTATCGATAAAGACAGCTTTTGTAATAGGTAATTCACTCATACTTTGTTGATTTTTATCTGTAATGGTTTCGAATATCGGTGATCGTAACATGGTTCCATAATGATATCCTTTTTGTAATCCTTCATCAGGATTACGTTTTTTATAATTGTCGTTGAATATATCACTTATGGGAACTGATGTAGCACTTGGAAAAATTAGAACTGTTTTTTCTTCTTCAGTATAGTTGGGTATATCGGGGTATGTGTATATTTGGACATCGTTTGAAGCTAAAATTGCTGCATGAATAGCTGTACTTTTTCCATCAATCTCTCTTTTGTGCTTTATTATATCTATTTTCAATGGCAACTGAAATTTTATATGGATAATTATTTACAGTATAAATATTTTTTAAATATTTTTTAAATTATCTTTATACAACCAGTAAATTATTATTTAAATAATAATAAATTAAAGTAGTTTCTTGTTCAATTAATAGAAATAATTGTGATTTATTTATCCTAATAATACTTGCTTTTAATTTTGGTATGAGTCCTTCCAGTTCTTTTACTGGTACATAACAAGTATAACAAAAATATTTTCTTGACTTTCCACATTTGGGACAAGGGCTTCTACCCTCAAGGCGATTCAAAATACTTGCATCATCGATTTTCATTCCATAAAATGGATTTGAATCAATATTTTTAATTTCTTCACACATTGTCACATTAATACTTATAATTAATTAATTATACATACAAAAATATATTCATTTTGACACCACGTTTTTATAGAAGTGACAGGTCTTTTTATCGGGCATCTGTGTGATGTGCAAAGACTTATATGTGATTTGAATCTGAGGAATAGGCGACAAATTATTTGATTTGTCACCAAACCATGTTATTAACTTCCTAAAGTAGAAGTTTCTGATTTAATCAGAAAATCCAATTTGTTAATTTTATGTTTTCTCGTAATTTCCGGTCATTCTGAATCATTTGATCCCAAATTTGATGAGAGTATAAGAGTGCGTGTAATCTGGACACAAAACCTGACCTTCAGTCGCGTTTTCCTAAAAAACAGCTTAAAACCTAGTTAAAATTTTTAAAAACTATAAGGACTCTCGTTGATTAACTTTTACAAGACTATCGGCCAAGCCATTTTTTATAATTAGCAAATAAAGGCAAAACTTTTCATCCACGTGTTCGCAAAAAAATTTGCACAGTTGATAATCTGATTCGTTTTTTGGCCAGGATCGGCTAGGTCGTTTGTTCATAGGTTCCCAAACTTTTTTAGTGTTTGGACCTCTTGGGCTTTTCTATGGACCCTCTAATTACTCGATAATGATTTTTTTCTAACTTTTAACTGTACTAAAATTTATTGTGAAGTAACTGCTTTTTATCGAAAATTTGGCAACAATTTTGTAAGGCTTATTCTTCTATCTCCCGGTCAATTATGCCCAGTCTACATCTTAGTTAGAAAATCAATATTTCACAACTAATAACTGTTTTTTTAATTTCAATATCCAGAAATGCTATAACAGGCCCCAACGCTTCAAAAAGGGCACAAATATTTCCAAGTCTTTCAATTGTCAGCATTTAGATTTCCGAACTCAACCATATTAGAACCACAAAACGAATGCCTACTTATGGCATAACTTACACATTTTCATAAAAAAGAACAATATTTTTATTTACTTTATAGTTCTATTCAGAAACATTGTAAATGTTTTCTATCATAGATATAGTGTATAGATGTGGTGTAATGCACTATGCATGAAACCCCATTTTCGTTTCGTTTTTCGTTTTTTTTTTTACTAAACTTGGACCTCCCAGAGGTCCATATCGACCACTTTGGGAATCACTGTGTCTAAACCCAAATCCTAAAATATAGTAAGCCTTCAAAAAGTGATTTATTCATCAAAATTCATTAATAACAGGCCACCCTCTGAGTCATAGGTTCCCAAACTTTTTTCTGTCGTGGACCTCTGACACTTTGCATGAACCCCTAATTAGAAGATATCGATTTTTTATAAATTTGTATTTGTACTAATGTCTAGTAATAAATATTTAAATTAAAGATACTAATCCAAGTTTAGACCTTTATGAACTGACTTCAAAATAATAATAAAATAAATATTAACAAGATGTATTGTAGTCCACTAACGTAGATCTCCTTAATTCCTTGTGGACCCCTTGAAAGTTGCCATGGACCCTTGGGGGACCATATGGACTACTTTGGGAATCACTGCTCTAAGCAAATACACCATTTATAATTCTATTGAAATAATAATAAAAATAAATTGAAATATTAGAAAAAAGCCTAATCCCACTTCTTATTGATTAAGTTGACCATTTCGAGAAAGTTTACGCAACTTGTCATAAAATGCCACTTACGACTAGTTATATTAGGCAACATGATGAAACCACATTAATTATAGAGAAATAACTCAGAATACAGTTTTTTTTTCTAAAAATAATGTTTTCCAGTAATTGCATTGTTTTAAGTGCATATTCATGTTTTAATATATTTGCTTCAAGATATTGCATGTGTTAAGATAATTAGATAAGTCTGGTTCATAACTATAGTTGAAGCTTGAAATAGTTTTTCTCATATTTACTCCAGGACTGTTATGGATTAAATTTAATTTAATTTCATATACTTAATTTAATTTAAAATTTTGATTATGTCCAAATATTTAAATTTTAAATATATTCGTATTTAAACCTTTTCACAATACGTATTCCATAAATTTTAAAAGAGTTTAAATTATATTTGAATATGAAATAAGCTTATTCAAGTAATTATCTGATAAAAGTTACATCAAATACGTGTTACTTCTATAGAGAAAATTATATCTACAAGATCTGAAATAATTTTGCCATTAATACCATAATCATTAGTACGTTATATAATCTATTACCATTAGAAATAAAATTACACAAAAAAACTTTAGAAGATTCTAATTATCTCATTTAAAGCAATGATACGTAAACCTAGAATAATTGGAGTGGAACCCCTAAAATCCATCACAGGTAAAATATATAAGTAAACCTTATTTCATTTAGTTTCAGTGGATTTTCTTTGTCAAATTTATTATTTAATAATACTTTTAATAATTAACAAATATCTCATTCATCAAGATGGAACTGAAGATGAACTACATGAAAAAAAACGTTCTTTAAATTTAGGAGCCAGTGTAGTATATCAAACTAATGAATTGTTAAAAGATACAAATCTTCATGGAGTTGCTCATATTACAGATAAGAGTGTCATTTTAAAATACAGGTAGATTATAATAAAACTAACATTTTTAATTCATAAAAAATAATAATAATAAAGAATTCAATATGGAAAAACAGCAATTTTGATCAGATATGTTTATTTAATAATGTCATGCTTATTATACGATTATGAGAATTTAATCTTCAGATAAATAACTATCAGAGTTATGAGAATTAAAAAATATTTATGTATTTTCGTATAATCGATCAAGCATCTTCAATTATTATATTATATAATTATTATTTTTTTTATAAAATTAACTAATGGAGTTATAATTATTATTCACAGAGTTTTTTGGTTTTTGATAGTATTTTCCTTCATAATTATATGCATTGTGACCATAAGCGACTTACTGGAAAAGTTTTTCGATAATCCTACAATAACAGGTAAGAAAATAAAATTAAATAATAATAGTCATTTTATATCCCTATAATTTTAAGCTTCAAAGAATTAAAGAAGTATGAAACCATTGACTACAAGATCTCTCTTACAATATGGAAGACCATAAGGCTGATATTTAAGAAAATGTACCAAAATTACTACTTGAAAGACGTATTTTTAAGGTTTTATTTCACTTAATTTATTCTAAATTCGATTTAGTTTTTACCTATAGATATCATTCTATTAATCTCATTGTTATCAAATATGAATTCTATTAAATTTGTTTTAGCCCTAGATACAGACTCTGAAGTACCAAAATCAGAATTTCCGGCAGTGTTTTTGTGTCATGGTCACTTTTCAGATGAAGGAAAAATACAAGATTTTTTAAATGAGTAAGTCAGGAACAAGTAATAATACATTCACAAGAATTACAGTAATTGAATACAATATGTAATTGAAATACAAATATATATTGTGTATTTTTATACATGTAGGACGTTTCCAGATTTGGAAGTAGAAAATGAGGATTATCAGGAATACTTTACATTTTTAAGTAAACTACCAAATTTGGGTTTTCATAATATCGGCAGAATATTAAATAAATCTAATATAAAATTGAAAGAATTGCCTTTTGATAATATTTTAAATTTAATAGAGAAAGTAAGTGAAATAATTTGTATACTGATGAAGTAAGCAATTAACAGAACCCATGTGGTATTTGATAATATATTTTTTCGTAGATTATTATTGATGAAGATAATTTCATTTCTGATACATTGGGTATGATAGTGATGACAGAACAAGGATTATGTTATAGTTTTGCAAGTAAAACTATAGATACTCATATAAAATTGTAAGTATTGTAGTTGTAATAATATAAAAGTAATATGGTACAACTTTTTATATTTAATTGAATACAGTTAATTTTAGTTGTATTTTCTAAATTAATAATATTTATTATTTCTGCCTCTAGATTAAAATTCGAGCACGAATAAATAATAAAGAAATATAGTATAACTTAACTGTGTTATATTATATTTTCTAAATTACAAAACATATATAAAAGTGTTTAGTGTAACGAGGTTTCATGTAAAAATTTGATTATCTCTTGTGTTGTAGAAATTAAATCATAATAGATATTTTGAGTATATAATTTTAGTGAATGTACATATATTAAATTATTATAAATATTTTAAATTGATTTGATTTCAGCGGAACAATTGGAACACAAGAGTTGATGCTAGAAGTAGAATTAACATTACCGAACAAAATAAAAAATAAGGTATAATACAAAATACTCAGTGTTGTTAATTTTAGTCTTAAGTTATATTTTAGTCTATCATCTTAATTGTTGTATACGAGGTCTGTTAAAAAAGTACCCGGAATTTTCGTTTTTTCAAAAAAATATTTATTTATTCGTCTACATTAATGTGGTCCCCTTCAAAGTAGTCCCCCCCAGATATTATACACTTATGCCAGCGTTTTTTCCAATTTTCGAAGCACCCTTGATATTCACTTTTTGATATGTCCTTGAGCACTCTCAGCGATTTTCTTCAATCGAGGAAAACCGCCGTCCTTTCATGGGCCTCTTCAACTTTGGGAATAGGAAAAAGTCACACGGAGCCATATCTGGTGAATTTTTGCACTTTGCAACACTTTATTTCATTTTTTACGCAAAATTTAATACAAATTCTTTGACTTTTCAATTCTTCCATTGTAAAAATCGCCGAGCTCAGAAAAACACGTCGAACCTTAGCGACTACCACAGACAAAGTAAACAGTGAATATAGCTGAAAATTTCATCATACTTTAGGGGCATGTATACCAACATAATAAAAAAAAAATTTTGACAATCAGACACTCCAGACCCGCGAAATTTAATTATTAGTAATTCCGGGTACTTTTTGAACACACCTCGTATACTTAGCAAAATATTGCTTACTTCTACAATCTCTACTTAGCACATTTGTGAAGTTATGGCTTTTTAGACACTTCTTTTACTACATCTGATCCATAAATTGAGCAATATTCTAGTAACTAAAATATTTTGAACTTTTTATGATCAAAATTTTCAATGCTTTTCTTTAGCAGTTACTATACATGATACTCCAAACAAAAAAGAGATTTTATGAGAGTTTACTTCCTTAAACGAAATAAGCCATGTACTTGAGTTAGAATTTATTCACTTATTTTTAGTAATTGTACTTTATATGTAAATAATATTTCCCACAATAAGCACGTAATTAAATGTTAATATTCCATATATTTTTAAGCTTTTCGTTCTATCACCTGATGGATATTTTAGCATTGATTTTTACACGGTTATGGACTGGCAAATCAAATCAAATTCTCAGTTAGAAATAACCGTTCAAATGAAGAGTATTTATGCTTCTGATGATTTTAAACAACTATCATTAAGGTAAGAATAAAAATAAAACCAAAAATAATATTTCATGAGATAAAAATATAAAGAAATCCATCCATTAAACCACTTTCAACTAATTCAATTTTTCACACAGTCAATTTAGCTTTCAATTGCTATTATAAAAAAGATAAATCTAAATCAAACCAAGTTTAATTACACATTTTCGTTAGTTTGTGTAAAATTAGTACATATTTCATACAATCAACTTTTTACTGCTGGTGAAGTTTTGATGAGTTCGCATTGCTTTATAAATTACAACAGAGATTTATTTTGTCCATTAATTGTAACTTATAATATAATACAAAAATTTAATTTATTTGCTCACCAAGCACGAGGAAATATAATTATAAATTCATTTTAATGTAAATGAAATGTTAAATTTGATGCTATTGAAATATTTTTATAATTTACATTTTACCACAGATAAAAAAGTATATAGTGAAATTTTAATTCATTATAATAGTGAAATTTTGATCAGTTTTATTGAGATAATAGGTTTTTTTATAAATTATAATTTATAAACTACACAAGAAATAAAATTATATTTTTATATAATGTAAGCTAAAATTTGAGAGAGAAATTAACGATCAATTTATTTTATTGATTTACCCACCTTTAAACCGGTGCAAAGTCTGGTGTAAGAGAACATGGTAAACATTATTAAAATTAATTCATAAATATTTTTAATTAATTTAATAATTGTTGTGTGATGTATACACATACGCGCATATTTTCATATAGATATACACATATACATATATTCATAAAAAAAATATTTGCCAGTATAGTAAGAAGTTAGTTTTACTCATCCCTAATATGATTTTTATATCTAAATTTTGTCAATTCGAAATTTTGTTCTGATCAAGTAGTGTAAAGTAACTTTTCTTTTATCACAGTCAACGAAAATGTATTCTGAAAGAAGACAACTTTAAAATGGGAACACGGAATGAACAATATTCTTATAGTTTATGCATGCGAGAATGTAGAGCCCAACGTGCGTTGAAAATTTGCAAATGCATTCCACATTTTTCAATACTTCGAACTGAAAAAGGTATGTATAAAATAATCTAAATAGAGAGATTTTACATCAAACTATATTTTCGTGGAACCATTAAAATCCGCAAAAATCGATTCATCGATATATTTTCTACTGTTCTGTCTTATGGAGCCATGGGTTGGTAATTCAATCCTGATTTTATGAAATATTTCATTACGCAGTAATATTATATTTATGTTCAGCATATGAAAATTCATGCTATTTCCATACAAATCTTTAATTGAATTGCGCTCTATCTAAAAGACAATATTAAGAGCTAAAACTTTCAGAGAATTGTTTTTTATCAGTTTGGAACCATCTGAGCCCTTGGGAGCAAGGAAATTCGAAAATGTCCATATTAAGGACCATCCTAATATATATATATATATATATATATATATATATATTTATCTATTTCATATTACTTCTTTTTAAAATATTCGATTTATATAAGAAATTAAATATAAGAGTCATGTTCAACTAATAAAGTTAATCTTTTTTATATCTGGTATTATTCATTTATTCTGGTATTATTTTTATATCATACATTATTCATTTTTAAATTTATTTAAGTTTGTCAATATTTAAATATTAAATTATGTAAGATTTACAAAATCATTTGTATGTCAAATCTTTCAAATTATGTGACTTTAGGAAACTAGTACTAACTATAACTAGTACTAATTTTTTATCCACAACTTTATGAAAAATATTGGGCGCATTTTTATTTTCAGATCTAAACTATATATATATATAAATAGTTGAACATATCAAGTGCTCAAGGCTCTATTAATTTGAATTTTAATTTAATTGAATTTTTTTGAACAATGACTTATAAATTTGAATGTAGAAATCATTATTGTAAAAAAAGTAAAATGGCACATGTCAACTACTTCTAGCTTCACATATTTTATGAACATTTGATTACTATTTACTATATACTATATACTATATTGACTAAACTATTATTTATATTTATATTCCAGATCCTCGTCAATGCAGTATTAGTCAATTATTTTGTATTGCAAATAGAAGTTTTGATATAATTAATCCGAAGAAATGCCCATGCCTAACTCCCTGTGACGAAAAAATCTATGAAATAACTGGATATAAATATCACAAAGGGTAAGTAGAACAACTAAAAATAAAAGTTTTTTTAAAAAAAATTTTAGAATTTTATTATTTTTTTTAATTTTTGTTCATTCATTCTAAAATATAAACAATAATACTCGCTAGATCTTAATTCGAACTTCATTGAAATAATTAAATTTATTAAAACACAGAATGACTTTTTAAGCATTAATACTCTTCCAATCGTCTTGAATATCAAAAAATTGTAAACTAATTATAATCTATGAACATTTTTTTTGATATTATAATAGTATTTAGATATCAAATATTGAAATATGTAAAATTAAACCTAACTGAACTTTTAGGAATGTAATTCAAACAAAATTAAATTAACCATTTATATAATACAATACTAACTGTAAGCAATGATAATCTTTAAGCATATTAAAAGTCTTATGCCCAATTGATTAAATCAATTAATTTCGAAAAGAAAATAATTATAAGGCTATTATCGCTCACAAAAAAATCTGAGTTCTTTCTATATTTTTAATGTCTTATATAATACATTTCGGATAGTATTATAAATTTAAGTGTTTCATAAGTAATTCAACGTACGACAGTATTTTTCAATAAAATACCTAAGAGTGTATTTCAGTTGAGTGTTTTTGCCCAAGGTAAGATTCCACTCCGCAAAATATCTAGCAGAAAAGTGTTACTAGAGCGTGAAAAATTGTGAGAAAAATAAATAATGCCAAAGAAATAAAAGCGAAAATGTAAAATAAGTAATAATTTTCTCGATGGCATGATGGTTAGTTTTACGAGAAGTAAAGATACAAGTTATAATATAAATATCCAAATTCATATATTTATTTTTATTTTATTCATATATTTATTATTTTCAGTGATTTTCCTCCCAATTCGGTAAAGGTAACAATGCAGGAGCCACTTGGGATCCAGTACGTGCGAGAGGTTACGTTTGGCTGGGCAGATCTTTTAGGTAATTAGGCCAAATGCGAAATATAGAACACGGTGCGTGTGTGGGTCAAACTAATATGGTAATAATGATTTAATTACGGATAAACTGATTAAATTATTAATTTACGTGACCTATATTGTCGAGAATGAAAACCCGAGCTAAAAATATAATTTCAAGATAAGGTAAAACAGAATTGCTCTGGGAGTTGTAGAAATTATTCGCATGGCATATGAGTAAAATGGCATGGTAAATGTTTATCGAAGGTATCGTTCAAATAATTATTGTCTTATCTAAATAATTCGATTTATCATGATCATGATTTATTAACGTTTCGTCAGAAGAAAGCCTCAAATTATTTAAATTTGATTTACTAATAAATCTATAACAAAACTATCTAAGATTATATAATTAAAGGGCACAACTAGTGTGAAATTTTCAAAGAATCGAATTTTCAATTTTTCCATATTTTGATAGGTTATACATTTAAAAATAACATATCAAAATTTTAAATCGATATCTTAAATAGTTTTTGAGTCAGAGCCATTTAAAGAGTATATATATAGTATATAGTATAACGATCATTTTATCTTTAAACGCATTTTTCTCGAAACAGCATTTTCCAAATGCTCCGATCACTATCAAATTTTTTTTACATATTCTATATATAGTTCTTCGTAAAATGAACTATCGATTTTTTTATCGGATTAAAAATCGAATATTGGCAGTCCAAAAACGACCAAAATTTTGGGTAAAATTCGACTTTTTTTTAAAAAAAACGCCGTCATTTTGTCAATTTTTGATTGTTTTTTCTTTATCGTAGTTCATTTTACAGACAATATTATCTAGTTTAACGAGAATTTTTTTTAAATATCATCCACGTAGAAGGCCGGAATCACTGCATCAGTGAAGGGCCTTTTTTGTCGCGCCGTTGGAGATCGACGATAACTTAAAAAATATTTATTTTTTGTCTTCAAAAATTTTACTGTGTATTCTTAAACCATGTATAAATATATTCTTAAAATTTTGAAATGATTGATAAAGTAGTTTTTTTAATATAAATTCCCAAAAATCACCTTTTTTTAGGCGGTTACACTAGTTGTGCCCCTTAAGTTATATCACAACTTTAACTCAAATATGATATTCCATATTATATGATATTTCATATATTTCTATTATTTTGTTTCAGTGTCTACAGGAGGTATAGCAGGATTTTTCATCGGTTTCAGTCTTATATCTCTAATAGAATTTATCTATTATTACACAATTCGACTCTGTTGCATGACATACACCAACAAGGTATACTTTTCCTAAATTATTCATAATTTTATTCATATTTTATATAAATAAATTGTATGTGTTATTGATTTCAGGAAGAACTTGGTGAATTTGCAAAAAAGCTTTCAATGCCTGATTCAAAAAAATATGATCTTCGCCTGTTAAAAAAATAGGTAATGATAATAACACATGCACATGTAGTTAGACATACTTTACTCAATTTAATTTATTATAATTATAATGATATTCAAAATTAGAAAATGTATCATTTGTGAGCTTCGTTCTAATTAGAAAGATTGTTGTTTATATTTTCTTTGATAATTGCATGTAATTAGTCAAATTTTACCCCTAATACAAAAAAAAATTATATTCACACTGAAGTTTGTATTAATACATACTTGAATGTATCATTTAACAAGCTTTAAAAACTTTGTTTGCAAATATGTAGTCATGTCTGAATTCTTTATTATTATTATTATTGCATTTATCATATACCTAAATTTATAATGAGCATTAATTAACTTTTTAAAAAATATTAAATTTGTATGTCATTTAATAGTGTACATAGAACATATTTTAAATTTATAGATCATTAGTAACTTTTTGATCATTTTTGACAAAAAATGTTTAAAAATAAGTGGATTTACAAGCACTAAACTCTGCTTTCTGATTGAATTATTTTTAATGGCGTATTGATCAATTTAATAATATTTTAATTTATTTGTTGACAATATACCATAATCAGATGAATAATCTCTGTGGTTTATCAAATCTCCAGAAAAATTAATGCAAAGTGTTGAAATAGATTCATAGTTTACTATTTTTTGTAGCAAAAATCATAACTAGATTTGGTTATCTGATATCTGCATAAATTGACAAGCAATACAATTTTTCCAAGCAATTATGATTTTTAAGAAATCAAGAATCTTAATGAATTTTAATATATCGAAATATATAGACTTGATTCTGCAATGCTTTATGTATTATATGTATTCTTGAATAAAATTATTATAACAGATTTCGCAACATTTTTGCATAAACAATAACAAACGCATTACATAAATAGTAGTCGAGATTAGGACTTATAATATTTAGAGCATTAAAATGCTGAAAGGAATTAGTGAAACTGTATTGTTAGTTCGCATTGTTGTTTAAAATATGCGGGCATTACTTGAACCGTTCATAAAATAATACCTTTGTAGTTAACAAGCGAAATGGTGTTTAGTTATTCTCTTTTGTTTGCGATACGGGCGAGCTTCTATAAATAATTTTGTTATCTACCAAAAAAGCTTTAGGCCAACTTTGATATTTTGTTAACGAAACACTAAAAATCCATATGTGTAATAAAAAAGTTTACAGAGTTTCCTTCCAAATATATTTAGAAAAAAAAATCATAATTCAAATATGTTTCCAAGTAAAATTTGATGGCCTACTATTATAATATGCAATATCTGGATTTCAAGCGCATTATTATATGGTGCAAAATTGATCTTTAGGCAATATTCCCAAAAGTAATTTATTTTTCGGATTACTTTGTTCAATTACAAAAGTTATGTTTTTTTAAAAAAAAAATCCATCTATTAATGAATGATTCATAATTAATTCCTAAAACTCATCTATCCCAACCTTTTATAGTTTTCATTACTGCTATTATTATAAAATCACAACGTGTCATATAAAGTATACTTTCAGGCGACATTTCAATGTCACAGCACCCATAACAGTATTGCCGTTTAATTTATCGGTGCAAAAAGTGTCATTTCATAACACATGGTTAAATATAATTGCGATTTTGATGGTATGGAACATTTTTCTCCTCATTTTTGCATAAAAATTTAATTATTTAACACGCATGTTCACACTTGTAGCGGCGCGAAAATCTAACCCATTCTCGAATTAAACTGAGCGCTGGGATATATGATATTCTCAATATTCAGTAGAGGATGAAAATAAATGTTGAATAAAATAATTACATGAAAAGTACAGAAAGTAAGATACTGTTCAACCAAAATCAGTAAAACCTAATTAGAACAAAACAAAAACTTGTGCAAAATTATAGACCCAAACAATTATGTAGATTTTTAACGATTCATCCACCAATTATTAAACAAATCAATAAATTTAAATAACATATTAGTTAGGATATATTAAGAAAATGCAATTTATCTTATCTGGTTCAAAGAGGTTGATAAATATTTAAGCAGATTTCTTTAGCTGCCTTGTTTATACTTGATTGTTGAGTATGAATAAACAACTAAATTAACAGCCGTGAATTAAATATCATATTTTTAAAATTAAAATAAGTAGTTTTTGGTCTACAAATAAAATATTTATGTGTATTCTGCTAAGAGAGAAATTTGCCAATTGAGGTTAACAAGTTTTAAAATTTTACTTTCTGTATTCTAAAATATTTTAATCAACTTTTGTCAGTGAATTCCTCAGTAACCGTTACAGTACGAAAGCATGCTTTTCGTCAAGAAATATTTTAGCCCATAACTTTTGACAACTTTACAGAACAAATCTCAATACTCTTTACTTCCCTCTTTGACGGTCCGGACCGAGGGCGTATCTGACCATTTGCTCAACCTTCGCCCACATTCACCGCATAGAGACACATGATGAAAGTATCCGTATAAATATATAGTAAAAATATGAAAAAATAACTCATCAAGTTCTCCGTGCGTGAATGTCTCTCAATTAAATGAAATATCAGTTCGTTAAATGAACCGTCCGTCAGTGTCCGGTAAAAATAAGCTGGCTGGCGCCACGACTCGGGCGACGCTGACCCACGGTCAAGTTTGTCAATTCAATGTCATAACTAACAACATGCATATTCATTAAAAGGAAAATGCTCCACATAATATACAGTGCGTGAGGATTTATGGGAAGATAGGGTGTTGATATAATTTTTTACTTTAACAGACTTTCAACGTAAACTTCGATTTGCTCTATGAATTCCAGCCAAACCCTATATAAAATTTTTTTGATCGTTATTTGGACTGCAATCTATGAAGCTTTTGAAAAGAGATTCTTGTAATATTATACAAACGTAAATATATTCACTTAACTAAATTTTTAAATTTCCGTTTGCTATTATATGGTCCAGTTGAATAGAAATTTTCAAAAATAAAGTATTGAAGTAAGCTTTAATTTTAATTCCCGGTATGCAATATGCTATAATAAAGTACACGGCGTCTCCACCGTTCATATAATAATCATAAAGACAGCTTTTTGAGCTTTTAAAAAATTCGTTGATAGCTAGCTATTTTTTAAGCTCTGACAGTAAAGTACATGGCGTCTCCACCGTTCATATTATCAATTATCATGCAAAGTTTTAACATGGAATTAAGTTAGTAATGGAAAAGTTTGAAAATAGTATTTTGTATTTTAACTCAAAATATAAGCCAAAAGCTATCCTAATAAAATAATTTACTTTCCTTGTGCAAATTTAAAAGCACCATTTACTTTAGAGAATCAATCTACCTTTAGTTTGCTAATATACATGTATGCACATTTTATGATTGACTTTCATAGAAATAAGTAATTATTAAATGAATCAAAACTAAAATTTATGTCGGCAAATACATATTCTCACAAGCAATTATTGAAAGGCTTCAGTTTCTAATTTGAATTTCGTCAAAACAATATATAACTAGTTATTAGTAATATAGTATAATATTGGAATTCAATATCAAATCAAGAATTCAAAGGCGATAGTCAAGTACGATTTTCGCCATATGAATTCAATATGATATATGTATACTGAAATAATAACGAAACAAATCCCATAGGTATACTATGTAATATACCTGCTATATTTCTTAGAACTCTATGGTCAAGTTTATATATTCGTTGATATTAATACAGGCCATCTGTATTAAATAAATACAAATTTTATTTGATATCTTCAGGGTTTAAAATTACTTAAACATAACGTTACGGATATTTAAATATGCGCGATAAAAATCTTTATTCAAACATACTTATTGGTTTCAAAACTGTATAAATCAGTGCATATACTTTTTAATAAGCTTGAACAAATGTCAAAATTTATAATTACGAGTACATACTTTACTATGCTAAAATCATACTATGTATATAAAAAACTTGGAGTGTGAAAAAAACCTAAATGTCTGTATGATTATTGGATGAAAGTTATGGGCAATCTTATTAAGGTGTTGAAAATATATTGTAACAAGGTAGTAATTTCAAGTTGTCTTCATAATTTTCTGTGTAAAAGTTTTTATTACTTTGAATAATAGTAAAAAAAAGTTATTAACAATAATTTCAATGATTTTAAGTGCTCGCTACCTGTTGATCGGTCGATCGCGCAGTCGCGACTCTCATATAAAAACCATTGCGGCGCTCAGGCAAGCCCACAGACGTTCGTTATCCATCAGCAGACACTGATAGAAAGTAAAAATCCGATAACAAACACTAATTTACACAAATCGAAAATATACAGTGTAACACTAAACTTTACATTAACGAAAAACAAGTGCTGATTGACCGTAGAACCATCGAAATAAAAATTAATTTCGAAAGAGCACATCAAACCAAATACAATCACTTAAAGTATTTATTTTCCTCCATAGCCCGACGGAAGCTTGTTTTATTTTTTGTCGGTAGAATTACGCGCGCTTTTTAGAAAGTTTCGGAAAACGAACTCGCGCAAAGTCGACACTGACTGAAGGGAAACTTCGTTTCAGAATCGTGTTTTTATAACAACAGGTCGTGTTTGTGTTTTGTGCTCTCTTTGACCAGGTAAGTTGATACTTCGTTATTTTTTTAATACAATCTTTGACTTTTACGACGTATATTATTCGTACCCAATTTATGTGACATTATGTAATAAAATCTGAAAAAATTGAATGATATATACCTATATGCAAATATCTTTCCAATATCTCTTTCTCTTTATATACATAAATATATATATATATACATAAATATATATATATATATATATATATATATATATATGTTTTAATTATGTGTACGAGTATTTTATAATCAATATATATTATTATTTATTTTGTTCAAATAAATCAAGGTTTTGACAACTATTTATAAAATGAAAATTATTGAATAAAATATGAGCTTGAAATAAAAATTAACGAATAGAATAAAAAATAAAATAGTACATCAAATAACTCTAATAGTGCAAGTAGTC